AGAAAATAGCTGTTTTTTTTTTCATTTTCTTATTTTTGGTTTTATATTGAAAAACGAATGAACGAACGACACACGGATTTCCGAAGCCAGGACCGGTGGAACCTGATCTAAGAGCGACACAACGAGCACGAACCGAAACACCAGCATTATTTTGAACAAGAATAAAACTTGATCCAGGAAGAAATTAATTCGTCTTTAAAATCGGAATAAACCACCCACTTAGTTCAGAATTAAGTTCAATTCTGAATAATCATTTTCATTAGGACTTGAGTGTTTACATTGTGTTTTTAACGTTGAATTAAAGTACAAAGCTCAACTACTTTTACTTCTTTGCACCGCTGGTACAATAGGATCTTTTATAATCGTCTGTCTGAACTGCTGTGAACCTGCGTTTTGCCTCTGGGTCCAAACAGGGAAACAGAGACTCGCCCACATGAGCGTTCAGCACCGGTCACTTCCCGTGTGATTGTGTCAGACCATTGCTGCGTTCGGCTCACGACGTGTGAAGAGGAAGTCACTCAGATAAACGTGTAAAGACGTGTTTGTGCAAATGTTTCACTGCTCTTTTACTGCACAAGTCCTGTTCATTTGCAAAGAGGATTAGTTTGCAAAGTTTACATGAGGCTTTTCCAGAGACATGCACATCCAACAACAAAAACTGCAACTGTGTGCTGGGTCCATAGACAAAAACTGTGCAAAAGAAGAAGAAACTCTCACATTTTTATTTCAGTGACGCCACGATGTGACGTTTAGGCTCAGGGTCGGGGTTAGTCTCATGTCTGAACAAAGGCTTGGCCAAAATATCATATTGTGGTGTCACTGAAATAAAAATTTAGGAGCTTCAAAAAACTGCAGTGTGGATCTATTCTTTTTTTCTAGAACTAACCAGGGGTGTCCAAACTTTTTCCATTAAGGGCCACATTTCTAAACACAGACCAAGCAGAGAGCTGATCAAGAGCCGCAGACGGAATAATTAAAATATGTGCATTAAAATATGAGCCAACAGTCTTTATTCACGCTAAGATCCTCAAAACCACACACTAAATATTCAATATTTGCTTTAGAAAGTAGATTTTCAAAAAACTTGCAGTAAAAAGTTAATTTTTAATTGATGTAAAGTCATTTGGGCCAAGTCACCTGGAAGCCTGAGGGCCAAGAAAAATTTGTCCGAGGGCCGCATTTGGCCCACGGGCCGTAGTTTGGACATGCCTGGTCTACTATTCACTACTACTACTACTACTACTACTACTACTACTACTACTACTACTACTACTAGTTCTATTCACACATCAGGACTACACCAGGTCAAATCAGATCCAAATTAGGGATGCACCAATCCAGCCTTTTGGTTCCAATACTGATGTCGATACTTTGGCTTTTTTTTAATTTTATTGAACACCTTTTCATTTGCATTGACGATGTGGCCAAGATAATAAAACAGCACAAACATAAAACACTCACACGTCAATCATAACAAGAAACGGTGAATAAAAACACGAGACAGTGAAACATTTGCAGATTAAAGATGTAAAAGTGTTAAAAGTGATTGAGTTTTTTAAAGTCGACAGGTAACAGATAAGGCAAAAATGAAGTAAACCAAAGATGTTCATTTTGTCTTCTTATGTACTTTAACTTCTTAGTGTTTTTTAACTTGTTGATGTTTCTGAGATGCAGCAGCCGAAACATGTCAACAAGGTAAACGCACTTTACTGTATTTAGTCTAGAAGTTAAAGAATGAACAAAGTTTTAAAGTCTGTTGAAGGTGTCACCTGCTGCAGACGCTTTGAGTATTTAAAGTATCTGCCCAAACCCGATATCAACCGATACCAGGACAAATGTGTTTAGTAACTGTTATTTATAACTTTATGTAACTACAGAAAAACTTAACAAGGTGTTTTGGGTCGAATTTGTCAAAATAAATCGTCTTATTACACTAATTTGTAGAGAAAAATGACCTAATATCTTGAAACTAGGAGCTGGACTGGCAATCTGTGCGTTCTGGAAAAGTCCAAAACCTACTAACAGCAGAGGACACAGTTACGATAATTTGCCGTTTTGCGAAGCGTAAATTGCACAGGCCCAAAAGGCGACAAAGAAGAGCGGGTCATTCGTTGGTTTCAACACGGGTCAAAGAAGTCGAGAGAAAGGTGGATGGGAAAGGGTTAAAGATGAAAATGTCACTTTGAAATGACGTGATTTAGGTGTTTTTGTTAATAAATAATCAGTAGAAGTAGTTCATCTTTGTGTGTTTTCTTCAATTATTTCATTATTGAAATGTATTAATTATTTAAATGATCAACCCCCCTTCCATCATAGGGCTATTTGTGGTGGAAAAGTCCTGTTTTTTGGTCCCAGCCCGTCCCTGCTTGGATCTGATATCCATCCATACATGAAATTTTATTAATCGATCGTCGAGAGAATTAACGATCAATTATCGATTAACCATTAACGTTTTTATATAATGAGTATCATCATCATTATTACTAATCTACATAAATAAATTCAACTTTACAACATATAAACCATCACCACACTAGAGCCACATCAGCCCGTTTGACATTAGAATATTTTTAATGCAGATTTGCACAAGTAGAAACGAAACTTAAAACTGCATGGATAATTTGCATAAACTAAGAGAAAAAAACATATATAAATACTCTAAATACTCCAGAATACTCCAAATACTCCAGAATACTCCAGAATACTCCAAATACTCCAAAATACTCCAAAATACTCCAGAAATACTCCAAAATACTCAAAATACTCCAAAATACTCCAAAATACTCAAATACTCCAGAATATTCAAAATACTTAAAATACTACAAATACTCCAGAATACTCCAGAATACTCCAGAAATACTCAAAATACTCCAAATACTCCAAATACTCAAAATACTCCAGAATACTCCAAAATACTCCAAATACTCCAAAATACTCAAAATACTCCAAAATACTCCAGAATATTCAAAATACTTAAAATACTACAGAATACTCCAGAATATTCAAAATACTCCAGAATACTTAAAAATACTCCAAATACTCCAGAATACTCAGAATACTCCAAATACTCCAGAATACTCAAAATACTCCAGAATACACCAGAATACTCAAATACTCCAGAATACACCAGAATATTCAAAATACACCAGAATACTCCAAATACTCCAGACTACTCCAGAATATTCAAAATACTCCAAATACTCCAGAATACTTAAAAATACTCAAAATACTCCAAATACCCCAAATACTCAAAATACTCCAGAATACTCCAAATACTCCAGAATAGTCAAAATACTCCAGAATACTCAAAATACCCCAAATACTCAAAATACTCCAGAATACTCAAAATACTGCAGAATACTCCAAAATACACCAGAATACTACAGGGAGAAGTACTTGTACCACAGTTTGGACTTTTGCTGAAGTGTGAAGGGGAAGTGGGCGTTCGTGGCACATTTGTCTGTGTGAATGACGTGACCTGTGCAGTCAGTGAGTTCAGCGCCACAAGTGCCAAACTTTTTACATCGTCGGTGCGGAAATCGTTTTTGTGTAGAGAGAATCGATTTAGTGCTGCTTCGACACTTGGACTGAAAACAAAACCGTGACAAACCAACACACCCTCATATAATTAAGCATAAAAACACCAACATGTGCAAGAGCGTTTCATATTCTTCACTTCTGACTTTGCTGCTCTTTGCCGTGAGGTTAAAGGTCGTCTCACTTTGGCAATTCGTGCCTCAAACTGAGAAACTGCAGTGAAAATGACCACATTCAGGCACAATTTTCACCCTGAGTGGTGTTTACCGTAATTCCCCGAGCGCATGAAGGCAGCATTACCCGGTCACACCTCGTCATTACAGTAAAAACCTTCCCCCCGCCGCCCTGCCTCGTGTTTACGCTCGCGCTAATGAGAGTGTTCAGTGTGGGACAGCGACAGGAGCCGACAGGAGCAGACAGGAGCAGACACCAGACAGGCGAGAACGGGAGAGGCAGGTGTGTGTGTGTGTTTTACCTGAGCAAGGTGTAGAGAGGGCGGGGCATGTTTATGTTACCTTTTACCAAGTGTAAAGGTGGGGGGCGGGGCTTGTGTGTGTTTGACCTTTTCCAGGTGTAGAGGTGGGGGGCGGGGCTTATGTGTGTGTCTGACCTTTTCCAGGTGTAGAGGTGGGGGGCGGGGCTTATGTGTGTGTGTTATGTTTTCCAGGTGTAGAGGTGGGGCGGGGTTTGTGTATTTTACCTTTTCCAGGTGTAGAGGTGGGGGGGGGGCTTTGTGGTGGCAGGTGTAGGTGGGGGTGGGGCTTGTGTGTGTTACCTTTAACCAGGTGTAGAGGTGGGGGGGCGGGGCTTTTGTGTGTGTTACCTTTTCCAGGTGTAGAGGTGGGGGGCGGGGCTTTGTGTGTGTTACCTTTAACCAGGTGTAGTGGTGGGGGGCGGGCTTATGTTTGTGTGTTATGTTTTCCAGGTGTAGAGGTGGGGGAGGGGCTTGTGCTGTGTTTTTATGTTTTCCAGGTGTAGAGGTGGGGGGCGGGGGCTTTTGTGTGTGTTACCTTTTTCCAGGTGTAGAGGGTGGGGGGCGGGGCTTATGTGTGTGTTATTGTTTCCAGGTGTAGAGGTGGGGGGCGGGGTTTGTGTTTTTTACCTTTTCCAGGTGTAGAGGTGGGGGCGGGGCTTATGTGTGTGTGTTATGTTTTCCAGGTGTAGAGTGGGGGGGCGGGGCTTGTGTGTGTGTGTTACCTTTTCCAGTGTTAGAGGTGGGGGCGGGGCTTGTGTGTGTGTTATGTTTTCCAGGTGTAGAGGTGGGGGGGCGGGGCTGTGTGTGTGTTACCTTTGAGCCAGGTGTAGAGGTGGGGGCGGGCTTGTGTATTTTACCTTTTCCAGGTGTAGAGGTGGGGGGCGGGGCTTGTGTGTGTTATTTTTCCAGGTGTAGAGGTGGGGCGGGGCTTGTGTGTGTTACCTTTTCCAGGTGTAGAGGTGGGGGGCGGGGCTTGTGTGTGTGTTACCTTTTCCAGGTGTAGAGGTGGGGGGCGGGGTTTCCTCCGCTCACACACTTGAGTGACGCCTTCTCCAGGCCCTGGTGCCACTCGTCCTCTTTGAACCCGGTGATCTCGGCGTGAGGAGGATCTGACCAACACAACACACGCGCGGTTAGAGGCTGAACAACACTCTGTTCCACCTTGTGATGTCATCATGTGGTAATACAGGAAGTGCTCCACTGTGTTTTTGAACTACACACACCTTCACCAGAATCATTTGGATCATTTCAGCCCTGGAATTTCTAATCTGTACTGAACAAAAGTTACACAATGAACCTTTAAATCGTAATACTGAACCTTTAACATTTCTGATTCACAATAACATAAAGGAAAAACAGTAGAAGAATGAGTAGTAGGAGTATTAGTATTAGTAGTACTAGTAGTAGTAATAGAAGTAGTAGTAGCAGTAGTAGTGGCAGTAGTAGTAGTAGTAATAGTAGTAGTATTAGTAGTAGTAGTAGTAGTAGTAGTAGTAGTAGTAGTAGTAGTAGTAGTAGTAGCAGTAGCAGTAGTAGCAGTAGTAGTAGTAGTAGTAGCAGCAGTAGTAGTAGTAGTAGTAGTAGCAGTAGTAGTAGTAGTAGTAGCAGTAGTAGTAGTAGTAGCAGTAGTAGTAGTAGCAGTAGTAGTAGTAGTAGCAGTAGTAGTAGCAGTAGAGTAGTAGCAGAAGTAGCAGTAGTAGAAGTAGCAGTAGTAGTAGTAATTAAAAACACAATTTAGTCTAGATTTAGATTTATTATTTTTAGAATGCAATTTTTACTTTTATTTTACTTTTATTCACTTATTCATTTTATGTTTTGATCTTTTGATTTCTTTGTCAAGATTATTCCATAAATGAACTCTTCACAGAGATGAGGAAGAGAGGAAAGGTTTATTTCTGTCCTGTCAATGAAGACTTATATATATATATATATATATATATATATATATATATATATATATACCTGAGTTTAGTCCCTGGTTTGGTTTTATTTTGCTTCTGCTTTGTTTCTGTTTTTACTACCAAACCACCCAATGTTCAAACTTTGCGTATCTCCCGTACAACATTCATAATATTATTTTTATTTCTACAATCTTCCATCTGTAGTTCCTCATATTTTGTTGTCATTTCAGTTTCTGCGTCTGATAAAAATCTTTCCATAGAGAATGAGCCAAACCTTTTCATATAAGCCAGACTTTGGTGGAAAGGTCCTCTGGTTTGGTGTTGCTTTGATACCATTTTTTGGGGGATCCGATACTTGGCCTTAGAGTACTCGCCGATACCGATACCAGTCCGATACCACATAGAGTGAAGAAATAGACTAATGCGACTCAATTTTGCTATAGTCCAAGAGCAATCAACACATCTACAGAAAGACTAAAAGCTCTAAAGAAAATCTAGAACAGGGGTGAGAAACTGAAAATATTGTGGAGGCCAAAATGTTTAACTCAATTCTGTATTAAATAAATATTGAATTTATATTGTATTTCTTTGTAAAAAAAAAAAAAAAACAACAACAAAAAAACAGTAAACATGATGAGTTTTAATGAGCTGGTCAGACTAGAAAGAGTTTATGTTCTGACTAAGTGAACATAAACTCATGAAAAAGTGAGGCTGTCTTACAAAAAATGTCATTTAATATGTTTATTTTGTAATTCCAAATGGATAAAACCAACAGTGAGAAAAGATGTTCATCCTCAGAGCTCTTGGTTAATTATGTAGAATAAAAACAAAGTCTGAGTTAGTGCTGTTGTCGTTGTTGTTGGGCTGTTTTCACTACAAATTTCACTCTCTGAATTTCAACTGCTGAATTTGAGGCCTTGAAAATATATGTGCTGAATATTTAAAAGGCGATTTTTTTTTTATATTTATAATTTTTAAACACTTGTAATATTTCCTCATCTGAAATCCAGATAAAAATTATTCAAACACATTTATTCAGAGTTAAAAATTCAAATTCAGCCCCTTTTAAAATTCAAAATCTGATGAAGCAAATAATCTTTCATAGTTTCTGTACACTTTGTCTCCAACTCCTGAAGCTTTAACATTTGAGAGAAGTTGAAATGCGATCTGTAATTCAAGAATCCCACGCGTTTCAGAGCATGTTTGTAGAAGTTTAAACTGTACCGGTACAACAGGATGTTTCTATAAAGAGACAGATTCTTTGCAGAGAGCGTTCGATTTTATCTCGCTGCTGTTCTTGTGATTTCATTTCCCCAACGAGCGATTTCAGTTCCCCATATTGTACAGCTCTGAGTAACAGGTTTGAATAGTTTTAATAAGAAATTGTACTTTTCCGAGAACTAAAGCACACATTTACTGCTACTTGGGTAATATTTTGATTGTTGTAACAGTACTCTTACTCGAGTAAAAGCTTTGATGAGCTTGTAGAGGTTTAAACTCTGTCGTTTCTATAAAGACACAGATTCTTTGCAGGGTGCATTCCATTTAACGAACTGCAGTTTTATGATTTGATATTTCCGCAAACTCAAACAGTGATTTCAGCTCCCGATATTTTATCGCTCTACAGCGGTGGTACAATGACTACAGGTTTGAGTAACTTTAAAGTACTTTTGAAGCACACATTTACTGCTGCTTGAGTAATATTTTGATTTTGAAGTAAAAGCAACAGGGATAGAATTACAAGCACGAAATGAAAAATTACATTTACGCTTTCTTCAGTACGAGTATGAAGTCACAACTATGACCAATAATTAGTCTTAGTACATAAACTTAAATATCGGCTGAATTTGGAAGCCAGAAACAACTTGTAGCCTCCACATTGACTCACAGTGCACCACCATCGTGTTGGAGATGGTCTTGGGTCCGGTGAAGCTCTCGTGCCACACCAGGCAGTCCAGGCTCTTGCCGTTCATGCCGCGCAGAGGGTAGAGCGAGTACTGCGACGTCACCACGCCGTTGTCGTAGGTGCGGTTGGTGGACTGCCCGGTGAGCTCCGTCTTCCAGGACAGCTGAGGCGTGGGCTGGGCGGTGGAGCGGCACGTGGCTGCGACGCCGTACGAGCCCTCCACCAGGACCGCGGGCTCCAGCGACGAGATGGGGATGGCTGCGTTGGGACAGGAGCGAGAGGTTAGTCTGGGTTAAAAAGTGAGATTAGTAGAGACGCCGTACGTGATTTTTACCATCCTAAAACATTAGAAAAAAACAGAACTAGTTTATTAGTGGTCCAAGGTTATTCCTGATTTAGTTTATGCATTCTGAGCATCCTAATTATACCACCGCTATGAGTTTATGAACGTTTGAATGTTTGAAAAACAAATTTGTTCAAAAATAATTCAGAATTGTCATGGTTCATGTTTTGTAGTCATTGTTTTTGCTTATTTTGATATCTTTTTCCTGTAGTGTAGTGTGCCTTTAGTGTTTTATTTTGACATTTGTCCTGTCAGCTTGTAGTTTTGAGTTTTACTTCCTGTCTTGATTGTTTGCCCTGCCCTGATGTGTTTCACCTGTGTGTGTGTGTGCATTTATACCCTGTGTTCTCCTCTGCCCTTTGTTGGTCCATTGTCTCGTGTCATGGCTGTTTAGTTCAAGTTTTGGATTTTTTTGATTTGTCATTAATACTTTGAAGCAGTCCTGCGTTTTGGGTCCTCCTTCTGTTTCTACGTGACAAGAATCACTTTAACTATGTGTTTCATTGAAATATGTAAGATAAAATCCTGAAATAGTTGTGGCACATTTATTGAGAACACAGATTCTGAGCTTTTTATTTACATATAGATGAACTAACTTTCATAAAGCGTACAGTTCAGGGGGACGTTCCAGCTGATTCCCTCTGCAGTGGTTGTGTGTATCAGAGATGGTCAGGAGCTGGAGTACAGGACACTGACTGACAAACTTTGTGGAGAGGTTCCAGGCAAAACATCTGCTCCTGAACTTTAACTAGACCAAGAAACTGGTGGCTGACTTCACCATCCAGGGCCATGAGGTGAAAATACTGACTGATACTTGTTTCAGGCTGGACTGGAGGGACAACGGTAACGCTGTGTACGAGAAGAGCATGACTAGACTCGACTTCCTGAGAAAGCTCAGGTCTTTCACTGAGTGCAGCAAGTTCCTGGAGATCTTCTCCCAGTCTGTGCGGCCAGCGCCCTGTAGTTCACTGTGGTCTGCTGGAGGAGCAGCACCAGTAAAAGGGACATATTTCTAGAACCTCTTCACGCATGATTTTGATGAGGGAACAACATTATAACAGGTTAGAAAAAATACGTCGTCTTTGTACTGCAAATTTCTCTGATCTGGCCAAGATTTTAAAACTTATATCAGGTTATTCATCCTGTTTTCAGATTTATTATCGACTTAATAGTTCTGAGATGCTTCATTCTAGTCTAGAAGTCGTTTATTTTAGGATATTAAGAGTCACTGATAGATGACTGATAGATTTCAGTGTTTACATCTTAAATTTTGTCCAAGTTTTTTGCAGTGTAAATGCTAAAAACGCTCCCTAAGATCACAAAAACACAACAAGGTAATTCTGAAATACAGTAATAATCATTTTCAAATCAGCAGAGCCACTCCTTCACTTCTACACGAGACACATGTGAAGCTTCTTTTTGAACTTTTGAATTTGAACGTTTGGAATTCTGGGAATTTCTGCTGAGGTATTTCCACAGTCTATATGCAAACGCTAACCTAGTTTTGAGTAAGATCACACAGAGTAACTTAACTTAGCCCTACAAAAACAAACCGCCCCAGCTGTCTTTCCTCGCCCAAAGCCAAAGCTCCTGTATAAATTATGATGTTTGTCACGATACTCACGTTTCAAACTCAATTTCAAAACTAAAGAGTAGACTCAAAGCTGATTCCAATACCACGAATATAAAATAAAAACTCTTTCTTTAGACAACAGAATGTGATTTTAAACATTTTCTTGTATATTCCCGTGTGATCTTAAATCCTTCCAACGTTTTATAGTCCTTCAATCGTCCAAGTAGGTTCCATGTGATCTTAGGCCACGTTCAGACTGCCCAAGTGACCCAAATCTGATTTTTTGGCTCCTATTTTCCTCTATAACGATAGTCTAAACGACACAGATCCGATTTTTTTCAAACGCGACCCAGGCCACTTGGATATGTGCTCCTAAAAGCGATACATGTCAGATTTTTTGACATGCGACTTCAATCTGAACGGTCAGGTCACATTCATCCCACCTACACGTCAGGTCCAAATTGGAGGAACCGGGCAGTTTTTCAAATGTCCGAGCGCGGCTACAGTCGGTCCCGACTCCAGCGAAAAACAACGAAAAATAAAGACCCTGCGAGTCAAATACAAGGAGGATAAAGACTCAAACAAACGAAGCGGCCGTGGACGTGTAACCTGAACATTTTACCAACAACTGGACCGGATTTTGGGAGACTTCTGAGCACACTTGCTGCGTGTGACGTCGTCGTGTCCTCCAATGCTCATGCGGGACACTTTTGGGGCGTTTAAAGTTCACAACGGAGATCTACGGAAGCCGAGAGGGGTCACAACAAACGCAAACGCCGCAACAAATACAAATGCCACAACACGACAAAAAAAGCCACAACAGAAATGACCGCGAGACTCTATTTTAATGCAAACGCCGCAACAAATACAAACGCCGCAACACAAATGCAAATGTCGCAACACATTAAAAAGCCACAACATATTAAAAAGCCACAACAGAAGTGACCGCAGGACTCTATTTTCCGACGGACCGATCAAGCGGCAAGTGAAAAAGAAGAACTACAACATGAAAAGTAAAGGAACGGAGAAGTTGGAAATGTAAGTAAAAGTAATTTATTGTTTTATCATTATTCGTTTCACGTTGTAGTTCTGGTGGTGCCAGGGAGTGTAGGACCTTATAAATTAGACAAGTCCTTTTGAGTTTGACCATGTTGCTAAAATCCAGAAGCCTGTGCTTTTTCAGTATGTGACAGTGGTGGTGGGAAATGGGTTTTTTGTCAAGTATTTTTAGACCTCGTTTATAGAGGTTTTCAATGGTTTTAAGTGTTGTGGGGCAGGCAAGAGACCAAGTAGTTAAGCAGTAATCGATGTGAGAGATAATCATAGAATAGAAATAAGTTTTAGCAGCGTTCATGTTTAAGTTATTCCTGATACGACGGAAGTTCTGAATGTTGAACTGGATAACCTGGGATACTTTTTTAACATGACTTTTGAAGGATAGTGTTGAATCTAGAATTACTCCGAGGTATTTAAATTCTGAGACCAGATCAAGTTCAACTCCATTAAGAAAAACCTTTGATTGCTTCAAATCGGTGTGACGTTTTGAGAAGTACATACAGACAGTTTTTTTGGTGTTTAGCAGAAGGCACGAATCCTTGAGCCAGCTATGCACAGACGATAAGAAAACTGTGAGGTCTTGAGTATAGATGACTGCATCATCCGCATACATCTGTGAAAAATGTATTTGGACAAGCATTTGGCAAATTATTGATGAAGAGGGAGAATAACACAGGCCCAAGGATTGAGCCCTGTGGGACACCAACATCGGAATCCAACAAATGATTGGTCTGTGACTGTCTCCAAGAAATCAGTAAGATTTTTTTAAAGATATTGTGTAATGGATGTTCCAAAACCCAAATTGTGCTTGTTTATGTGCAGAAAATACAATGTGAATGAGATGGGCCCTTTAATTTCTGTCCTGTGAATGTGACTTCTTTAGTACTGATGCCTGCTGAAATGAGTATATAGTTTCAATATTAGTTTTAGCGTCTGATTTTCGATACGTCTGACAACCCTCGTATAAACTGTCCCAGGGTAATTGATGATGTTCAGAAACACACACACACACATAAGTCATTGTCGTCTTGTGATTTGACAGTTACACATTCCTGGCTAAAAGGTCGATAACACTTCCAGTCTCGTCTTTTGTTTAGTGAAAATACAAACGCAAACCACAAACACACGAGGAACAATGAGCTGTGACAGGGCGTCGAGTGGAGCTGGCACCATTCTGAACCAAAGCAGGGGATCATGAAGAAATCACCGATATGATACATACCTCGATACAGTGAGCTTTCGATTCGATACGGTTCAGTACGATATTTTTAAAATCAATTCAATATGAGTCAATAAAAAAATAAAGGCTAAATCATGGCTGTGAGACAAGGGAGTAGGTTTGCACAGGGACAGTGGGGACACGTCACAACTAATATTTGGGGAAGACCTGACCAGTATTTGCCATTTTATTTTAATAAACAAAAAGATACAAAAAATATACAAAAAACCCAAGGCACTCAATGGTTAAAATAAAATGCCTATATTCATTTAAGTCATAGGCTGAAACGCGTCGGGACTTTGTACCATATTTTCCGGGCTATTAGACGCGCTCTTAAGCCTCTAACCGCATCAAAAAACGACCGCGCGCCACAATCCAGAGCGCCCCATACACGAATCCACTCGGGTGTCCCAGTACGACTTCAGTAAACTACAAACACACACGGAGCAGACAGCGACCGCACGGCGAAAAACACCCACAGACACACTCATCACTCCACGCCGACGAGGAACGGAACGGAGGAACGAACCGAAAAAGCCACGAGCGCGACGTGCCGCTTCTAGACACGACTGAACAACTGAGTCACTGCGAACACGCCGACAATCCGTTGGTCCCAGACACACCCTCCCTACACGCACAACTACACGCCACAACTGAACAAAGCCCAGAGTCACCGTGAACGAACAAACAAACAAAACCACTCACCCATCACACTGTTGGGTTTCATTTAAAGTCCCACACAGTTTATTTGTGAAAAAAGTTCGAAAATAGACCATTTAATGACAGTGCGTCTTATAATCCAGAGCGACTAATAGCCCGGAAAATACGGTAAATTGTCCATTAACACATGCCGTAAATTAGTATAGGCATTTTATTTTAACCAGTGAGTGCCTTGGGTTTTTTGTATCACCACTGAGTTCAGTCTACTGTGTATTATCCTCTGGAGGTCCAGGAAGAGCTTCTTTTGAAACCTTTTTTTAAACAAAAATATACATTTATTCCATTATTTTTCCAAACTCAATTAATTTATTTATTAATTTAAGACGTTTTAGTTCACATTTTGTTTATTAGACGTTCTGAGATGTATTCAGTTACATGACGACAGGGTTACTCCTGCCGTTGTTTCATTGGCTCTAACAGAGTGATGTCATTAGTGGAGTCAGGAGCCTAAACTGGGGAAGCGGCAGGACAGGGCCGCACCTGAACATGTCGTCTTGAGCAGGCGTGAGTGAAGACGCTGCACCAAACTCTGAAAAACTTTTCAAAAGGAACTTACTCGGCTTCATCTTCAGTTAAACTCGTCTCATAATGGGCCCTACTCGTGCACTGTGAGACCCCGACTCTACTGACGATATTCCACGGAAAAATGTACGGACATGACCTCACAAATATCTCATCACCAACAAGCAAAAGGAAATCTGCACAAGCCTCTACATCACTGTTCTCCACTAAACCATGGGTGTCAAACATACGGCCCAGGGGCCAGATCCGGCCCTCTGAGACCTTTAATCTGACCCTCGGCTGATTTTCTACTAAAATATTTTAATTATATTTTCTACTAAAATATTGGCAAAATAATCTGTAATTTCTTTTTCACAGCACAAATGAAGACTTGTCTCTTTCCAAACGCTCTTAAAGGACGATCGATTTGACTGTTGACCGTGACACCCTCATCAGAAAAATGTCCAACATGAGAAAAGTGGAGCCGAGTGCAGGATTTTACAACAAAAATGGACTTATTCCTGTTTACAGACAAGTTCATGTTCAAACATTGTGTTGAAATTTTATTTTTCTTAAAGTTTCAGGTTGTTCATAATATTATAATATTTTATAAAAGAAAGAGTTCATCAATTAAAAAAGATTTCTGTAATAGATTTGTGTTTCTCTGCACAAATATTTGAACTTATTGTTATTTTTGGGGTTTATATGACATGAGTTTTCTGATCCGGACACTTTGGGATCAAAGTCGGTTGGACACGACCCCCGGAACAAAATGAGTTTGACACCCCTGGTTTAAACAATTATCTTAGAAGAACAATGGACACAAACCTAAAAAATGAAATCACCTCTCACTTATTTTGGACCTGCTCAGACTCTGTGTGTTTTTTGAAAGAATTTATAAAATGGGGGGGTGATGATAAAGCTGAGACCAAACCTACGCCCTTGCTGTGACACTAAAAGTCTTAAACCAATATTTGTGCGAAGTTCAAATGAAACACAAACATTTTAATCCTCAAAACAACTGACAACAAAACAACAACATCTGAACAAACAACAAAACTGTAGCTGTAACAAAATAATTTAGTAAAATATACCAAAAAATACTCGATACAGCAGCCCACGATATCGATACTGTATCATCACATTAAACAATACAATACATCAATATTTTGATATTTTTGCACAGTCCTACTATTAACCATGACTTTATGAAGTGTGCTGTCATCTGATGATAATTCTGATAATCAGGAAGTGTGTGTTAGCCTGCTAGTTGCTACTGTGACAGCAAAAATCCATTCTTGTTTCTAAAAGTTGCCTCAGTGTGATGTCACAGAGATAAAGGGGCAGTCAGTGGAGTGTGTGGATTCATATAAATATCTTGGAACAATCATTGATTAAAAATTAAGTTTTGATGATAATTGTTCTGTTGTGTGTAAAAGAGGCACCAGCACCTTCATTGTCTGAGAAAGTTTTCCTTTTACCGTGTAGACAGAACCATGATGACACTGTTTTATAAAACATTTATGGAATCAGTTTTAATGTTTTCATTGGTCTCGTGGTTTGGGAGCGTCTCTGATAAAAACAACAACTCCCTCAGTCAGTTGGTTAAATGGGGGAGGAGGTGATTGTTCATCCTCAGAGCCGCTGGACTCTCTGTACTCGAGACACTTACAGACGACGTCCCAGAGGATTTTAAGAGACGTGCAACATCCACTGAACTCAGAGTTTCAGCTGCTTCTCTTTGGTCTGAGGCTTTTAGTCCCAAGATCTAGAACAAATCGTTTTAAAAGGAGCTTCGTTCCGGCTGCTGTCGTACTTATGAATAAATTGTAATTTATTTATCTAAGATTGTGTGTTTTTAACATATTTAATATTTATTGTGATTTTAGCCAAGCGTGATGGATGAATTTAACTAATTGTTTATGGAACAAACCATTCTGCACTGGAGCTCTGTAACACTTTATTTTGTAATTGTGTTTTTATACGTGTTTTGTGGATGAATGAAATGTGAAATGTGGAACCTGCCTCTCAAATCTGCAAAGCAAATTTACCTACAGGTACGAATAAAGCGACCTAACCTAACCTAAGTTGTGAAAAGTGTTTAGAATTTCAACATGGTGAATAATAACAATGCTCTGAATGCTTAAAGTGACTGAGGAATAACTTCGGACCACTGCAAACTGTTCAAAATGTTTAAAAATCATGTAGATCCACTGAATAAAAGTCGTGTGTCTTACTCCAGACGGTGAGCTCCATGTCCTTCTCGAAGTTGCCCAGGGGGAAGGTGCTGATCTGGCAGGTGTAGAGTCCGGCGTCTCCGAGCTCCGTGCTGGTGATGATCAGAGACGAGTCCACCATGGGGTCGCTGTTCTTGAAGCGGACGCGCCGAGACCACGCGCCGAACGCTGCACAAAAACACAACAACACACTCGTTTAATGATCTAAAACTGAGTGATAACTAAAACAAATGCTGCAGCACGTCCTGGACTTGGTAATACTTTGACTGTAATGTTCCACAGTGTGTCATTAATCTATTTTGGATTTATTCAGTTGCATTTATTGCTCAAAAATACCTTTAAAAACATGAATTCTTAGGCCCAAAAACAATTCTACCTCTTAATCCGAGGGTCTCCAACCTTTTTCCTCTGGTGAGCTACTTTTTTTGTCATATATATTTAATTTAATTTTAAGTTTTTTTTCCCTATATTGTGGTCTTACGGCCACACAATAATGCCACAAAATATACAAGTATACAAATGCCACATTCCCAAACCCCGATTTGCCCTCCCCACACCCACCCTTAACAGACGCTGAAAGAAAGGAAAAAAAATAAAAAATTAATAAAAATTAATAAAATAATAATAATAATAATAAAAAAAATAATAATAATAATAATAATAATAATAATAATAATAATAATAATAATAATAATAATAAAGAAAATTAAGAAAAATTGAGCTACTTTAACAAAATAAAAATGCCAGAGAGCTGTTCGTTTTGGCAGTCGCAGAAAATTTTGAATATAAGAGCCTTAGATGAGGTACAGTTTGATGCCTAAAACATTTACACAACTGTTTTGTCCATTTATTAGTGCACAAAGATAGGCAAAGGAATCAGAAATATACAACTACAATGGTCAGAGGCATTTAATTATGTAACATTTTAGTTATTTAGCACAATATGTGTGATTCAGAAACGCCTTGGCGAGCTCCTTGGAAGAGGGTGGAGAGCTGCTGGTGGCTCCTGAGTTTAGCCTAAAAGCCTTCGCCCTTCTCCTTGATTTTGTACGTCCACACAAGACAAAGTGGTATCACAATTCTCTTTAGCCACGAGGGGCAGGGCGAAGGTGAAGGGATGTAGACTCCTTCAAATGGGGCTAATCCAGATGCACACTTCAGACCCACAATCAGAAGATCTTACGATAAGGTCATAAAATTATTCCTGTAGTGTTTTTGTTCACTTTGCACCACTGTCGTCTGCTCAAAGTGGAACAGTCACGTGTTTCTGATTGTCACGTCTCCATCTGCATTTGTGACGGCGCACGGCCCAGTCCACCTGCTCTGACTGCTGCTGCTGCTGCTGCTGCTCTGGGGTTTTGTGTGAACTTTACCAGAGGACGTTTGACCTGGGACATTTTCTCATTTTCTCTGCTGCTTGCCTTTTGGGGTTGTATTCAATCAATCAATCAAACGTTATTCACAGAGCGCTTTTCATACAAAAAATGCAACACAAAGTGATGACCGCGCTCAGCAGCTGTGAGGGCAATGAAGCAGATATGGAAATATATGATAAAGAACGGTAACAGTTCACTGTGCGGTCTTTTGTTTCAGCCTTTAGCTCATTTAACTAAATAAAAGCCTATAACTACAGCATCGGTCAGTCCAGGTCAGTACAGTGGCCTGTTCATTAAAGGGCCGTTCACACCAAAGCGTCAAAAAACTCCTTGACGTCTCTATTTGGAGCCTTTGCATTTGAGTTTAGACGCCCCCGACGCTCGTCTTTGACGCCGTGGACGAACGGGACAAAAATACTTGACGCGCGTCCGTTGCCCTGGAAACAAGAGCCCGGTCCTGGTCTTTTCCCGAAACAATGTCAGACCAGACTGAGAGACTTGAGTGTTTTTATGACATAAAACATCAGAGGAGGAGATCGACTCGACGACTGGAGCGAGTTTATATTTATACTCCACTAATGACACTGGATCAGTCCTGGTTTAGTCCTGGTCTAGTCCCGGTCTAGTCCTGGTCTAATACCGGTCTAGTCCCGGTCTAATCATGGTCTAGTCTCGGTCTAGTCCTTGTTTAGTCCCGGTCTAGTCCTGGTTTGGTCCCGGTCTAGTCTCGGTCTACTCCCGGTCTAGTCCTTGTTTAGTCCCAGTCTAGTCCTTATTTAGTCCTGGTCCGGTCCTGGTTTAGTCCTGGTAGTCCTGGTAGTCCTGGTTTAGTCCTGGTTTAGTCCTCGGTGATTGTGGTGTATATATTTATTCTCTGTTCATGTTTGTGGTTCTGGTTCTGGTTCTCGGGTTTTTCTTCCTGATAATAACGTCGCTGCGTCTCTGGATACTCGTCCCTGATTGGTCGACGCGGCGAGTCTGACGCCAAAAGTTCAGCATTTTCAACTTCTTGACGCTGACGCCTTGGACGCGCGTCTAGACCGCTGACGCCAAAGACGCCAAAACGCTCAAGACTCACCGCGTCGACGCCAGATTCGCGCCGCGCTGACGCCGAAGACGCGCCGCAAAAACGCAGGACGCTCTAGTCGCGCGTCCACATCGACTTTACATAGAAACTGGACACTTTGACGCTTTGGTGTGAACGGACCTTAGAGTCATTGAGCCACTGAGCTTACAAAATGCAACATCGCTGAATAATAATATCTCGGGCCTGATTATTTTTACTAAATAATTCTTACCTAAATTACCTACAATGATTACGTCTGGTTTCTATTCTTTTTTTTTTCTGTCCACAATTTAAATTGTGCTCCTCTGTGTCTTTTATTTATTTTTATGTGTTTTTATTGGTTTTACTGATTTAATTTGTTTATTGGTTTATTTATTTCTATTCTATGATTTTGTTTTTATTTTATTTTACTGGTTTTATTATTTTAAGACTAGTATTATTTTAGTAGTTTATTTTATCATCTTATTATTGTTGTTATTTTTATGTATTTGTGCAGCACTTTGGAAACAGTTTGTTTGTGAAATGTGCTATAAAAATAAAGTGGATTTGATTGGACAATAGGCACACACTTACACGTAAATATGTGCATGCATTTTGATATATTATGTGTATATATGAGGGATGTAACAATAACTGCAATATGGTGATGTCGTATGGTCAAAGTTCTCACAATAATATCGTGGACCATCACAATATATCAGTTTACTAAGTCTCTTTGCTTAAATGAAGAGTTATGGTGCAGCAACAGCTAAATAGAGACAGAAGGAACTACATAGACCATGATCCTTTGCTCCATTTCAGTGCAGACGACAAGAAGAAATAACAGTTCTAACACTTTTAAGTCTTAGTTCTTTCGATTAAAGTCTTGTCGAGGCATTTTAAGAGGAAAAAGGAGCAAATTAACAGAAAATATCGCAATAAATAGAGATGTATATCGTGAAAATATCGTACCGAGAGATTTGGATATCGTTACATCCCTAATCATGAGCTTTCCCACGATATCGCAATAAATATCGTACTGTGAGGATCATACCGTGAGACTTGGATATCGTTACACCTCTCATGGACACCCAAAGAAGCTGGCCAAGTTTGTTATAATATCAGGTCCATCACCACTGAGTCATTAATTTAATGGCCTGACAGATTCAGTTTTTGGTTAAAGTCCAACAAACAGAAACAAAAACATCACAGGTCAGTATAGTTTGAGTTGTCATCTACATTTCACAGGTTAAACGGTTCCGCGTGGGTCTCACCGGTCTGTCCGTTGAGGTGGTGAGCCAGGATGATCTGCTCCTTGTTGCCGTCGCTCTTCTCTTTCTTCCACGTCACCTGGACGATGGTCTCCTCCTGGACGGGCTTGTACACGCAGGGCAGCACCGTCTCCTGCTCGGCCAGAGAGCGCACCGCGTCTCCGGGGGGAACATCGCTGAAGTTTGCACTCACCTCTGCAACACAACAACACGGACAAAAGATCAGAATCAGAATCAGAGTAAAATCGAACAACTGACCAATCATCTGACGCTCTGTTACTCAAGTGAAGACGCTTTCACAACACTAGTTTGATTATTTGGTTCGCACCAGAAGAACTATTTTATTAATTGTTCTTCTGTAGTGTATAGACTCCAGTGTGATCCTTTCACACCTGGAAAACCAACCAAAACTGGTCTCACTGACGTATCGGCCCGGTCAAGCAGAAGTAAACAACAAGGCCAAAAATTCAAGTTAATTCATCTGATATAAAAATGTATTGAACAGATACATATGTACTCTAGTTTATGAAACTGTTGACCTTTTTTCTGTACCATTTTTGGTTCTAAAGTTCCATATGTTTTAAACAGACCATGTATGAAACATGGAACAAAAATTATTTCCCAAATTTCAAAGACCCAAAAATCATGTAAATAAATGGATGTATTTCATCATATCTTGTGTTATTCCATCTTTGAACTGTTGATGAAGGTACATGATTTTAAAAAAAAAAAGTATTTAAAATGATAAAAATTTGCTTGGAAGGACTGACATATTTTATAGAAATAGTTTCCTTTCATTTTGAAGTAATATTAAAGTATTTGGGAGAAAAAAGCGACAAATGATGTAAAATCCTGCACCTTCTACTTGTTTGTACAATTTTCCCTCCGTTACTTTTCCCTCCGTTACCATGACCTTTCTTAATAAAAAAATCTCATGACTCAAAAAGTAAGAGGTTTTTCAACCTAATCTTGTACCATATGGTAGAAAACTATATGAAGCAAATATTCAAACCAGTTTGTTAAGGATATGTAAGTGAGAACCAAGAGTTATCACTGTTTGGATTTATTGCCCAAAAAGTGCTGCATATTTCATTCCCTCCGTTACCAACATGAGTTTTTTAATTTTTTGTCAACAACTTGAAAGAATATCACAGGTTTAACTTGACCCTGTTGGAGTGTAACTCTTTCCTACATTCTGATACTTTACTTATTTCAATAGTTCCTCTAGTTTCTGAATAAGAGACATTTGAATGTCAGAAACTGCCCCTGTTTCCCTCCGTTAACACTTGACCGGACACATATATCCAAGACTGGTGCGCTTAATTCAGAAGTCTGAGCCTGCCCTCCCATGATGCATTTGGAATAGTTGGTTCGGACCTACTGTCTCTGGTTTGGACCTGAGTACACGTTCTCACCAGAGGGACCACACCAGAGTTTGGCATTTAGTGCGGAGTCAAGCAGACCAAGACCACCTCTTATTTGAGGTCTCGGTCCACTTCATTCAGTGTGGATCCAAGTGCGACTGATGCTTTCACACCAACGAAAACGAACCCAACTAAGAGCTTTTGGTTCGAATGGAACATTTGGCGCACCAACTGCTGTCGGTGTGAAAGAAAACTTAAGGTCCGTCAAAAAATGCCCTAAACGCCTCTGTTTGGACGCCTTTGCATTTGAGGTTAGACCCCCCGACATGTGTCTTTGACGCTGTGGAGGAACGGGAAAAAAACAAATCTTGATGCACGTCCAGGGCGTCCGTTGCCCAGGAAACAAGTTCCCGGTCCCGATCTTTTCCCGGAGAGATGGCAAACCAGGCTAAGAGTGTCTTTAGTGTATTTATTAAACCATAAAACCATCAGCGGAAGTAATCGACTCAGCGGCTGCGGTTGTATATATGTATACTCCATTAATGACAATGGTCCAGTCCTGGGTTAGTCCTGGTCTAGTCCTGGTCCAATCCAGGACACCCTAGACGCACTGCAGAAACGCAGGACACCCACAGTAGACTTTGCATGTAACCTGGACACAACTGAACAGGCCTTTAGGCTTTAATCTGAGCTTTGTTTTAACACAATCTGACCGTAAAGACCCGACTTAGTTGGAACTACAACAGATGAGCTGATTTATTCTGTCAAATAACAACACAGTCACAAGATTTTTCACCAGTTTGTCTCCTTTTTTGCTGAAAACCAAACACTAAAATATGACCAAGAACGCCTGTATTGCTCACGGGCGTCTGAAAATGTGTTGTTTCCATTTGTTTTGTTTTTGAGTTTTCAAACAAAAACACATCTAAAAACTTCGTAAACATACACGCATAACCCTCCATGCATGATGTCACTACAAAGCGTACATTTTTTGGGTTACATTTTCTTAAATTTAGCAAAATCGGGCATCAGACTCAAAATATTTATGTAGAAATGAAGAATACAGTGAAGAGTCATATCCAAGCTTTCACTACGTCCTTTCTTGTTTCACCACAGCCGTACTCGTCTGTATTTGTGACCACAGAACAGAACAAAGTGTTATCTGTTGGAGTTATGCTGTTGGACGAGTCGGTCCAGACGCAGAGCAAAGAGGCGTCTGAGTACGGTGTCTGGACTGGGACAAACAAGGCCCCCACACAAACACATGGAAACATCTTTGTGTGAAGTAAACCACCAACCGCTGTCTGGAAATATGGACGTGTTTGATCACTATTAGGGTTGTCAAAAGAAATCGAAAAATCAGACACTAACCGATACTAAATCTGGTATTGAAACTAGAGACTCGCCACGTTCAGAGACGACAGAAATGAACCTTTCCTGAATAACTTTACAATGATCTTGAGATGTATCAGAAGAGCACATCAGTATACCAGTGTACGCCCATGGACTAGGGCCCGACCGATATATCAGTTGGCCGATATTACACTTGGAGACATATCGGCCTAAATCTTGTTAATAGTCCACAGGGGCAGGTTATAAATCTTAGACTCTCAGTCAGTGGTCCCCAAGCCCCAAGTCTGTTTTATATTAGACAATATTTCGCAGACCAGAGTGGGTTGGGGGATTTGAGGAGCATGGTTAAGTCCTGGCTAAATCCTATTTTAGTCCTGTTTTTAGACCTGTTTTAGTTCTGTTTTAGACCTGTTTTAGACCTGTTTTAGACCTGTTTTTAGACCTGTTTTAGTTCTGTTTTAGACCTGTTTTAGACTTGTTTTAGTTTCTGTTTTAGACCTGTTTTTAGACCTGTTTTAGTCCTGTTTTAGACCTGGTTTTAGACCTGGTTTAGTGGTGCCATGTGGGGGGACGGTCCGCGAGGCGTACGGGAGGGGGGACGGTCCGCGAGGCGTACGGGAGGGTGAACGGTCCGGGAGAGGGAACGGTCCGCGAGGCGTACGGGAGGGGGGACGGTCCGCGAGGCGTACGGGAGGGGGGACGGTCCGCGAGGCGTACGGGAGGGTGAACGGTCCGCGAGGCGTACGGGGAGGGGGGACGGTCCGTGAGGTGTACGGGAGGGGGAACGGTCCGCGAGGCGTACGGGAGGGTGACGGAGAGGGAACGGTCCGCGAGGCGTACGGGAGGGGGGACGGTCCGCGAGGCGTACGGGAGAGGGAACGGTCCGCGAGGCGTACGGGAGGGGGGAACGGTCCGCGAGGCGTACGGGAGGGGGAACGGTCCGCGCGCGAGAGGCGTACGGGAGGGTGAACGGTCCGCGAGGCGTACGGGAGGGTGAACGGTTCGCGAGGCGTACGGGATGGGGGGATGGTCCACGCGGCCTATGGGGGGGGGTTCACGCTTTTGCAGCCTGGTACCAAACGAGCCATGTCCTGGTACCAGTCCCCAGTCTGAGGGTTGGAGACCTCTGCTCTATATTATGTCCATTTAATCCATTTTACAGACAGATAAATGTATTATTATATTATATCTAATATTAGCAGAATCCTTCAGGGCCATAATGAGTGTTTTCTCGCCTCTGGACCTGACCTGGCTGACATCACTATCGTTCTCTTTGATTTAGGTTTGAGGATGGAGTTGTAAATAGTTGACAGATGATGTCTGATGTTGTTCTGTTCAAAGATGGAGATTTTCTAACAAAAATACTCTCTTTAACTCTCCTCTTAAACTATTTCTTTTCTGTGGCTCAGATCTGTACCTCACTGTCCTCAAAAGTGTGGCCCAAGGTTTTTAGATGGAGATGTACTGAGGTCCTGTGTTGCTCTCTCATCTGTGTTGGTTCATCCTCTTGTGAAGTCGCTGCTTCATTTCTCAATGTAACACTCACTGCAGTCTTCACTACACTGACTGGAGTAAACAATTTTTTTATTTCTTAAGTGTAAACCCGGGCCCAGGGGCCAAATTTGGCCCACGATATAATTATATTTGACCCATGAGATCATATCATATCTGTATTAGAGATGCCCGCTGGCTACGTATAGACTAGACATGATTTATTTAAAATGTTGTTATTATTTTATATTCTGCTTGATCTGGCTTCAATGTTTAAACAAAACTATTATTAACATTTATTTTCATGAGAAAAGACAACATTACATTACATTTAACATTACATATCTTGAAAGAAGAGAAAACATGCAGATGTTGTCGAAATTTTTCAATAAATATTTAGTTTGCCCCACGACTTAGTCCCAGTTTTTAATTTTGGTCCTTTGAGTTTGACGACCCTGATTTAAAAGTTGAATATTTTTATTTTAAATTTGAAACATATTGAAAACGTATGCTTAAAATCTCAGCAACAAAAATTCAAAATGAAAATAATTCAAACATGTTTTTTCAGAGCTAAAAAATTCAAAGTGAGAAATTCAGCTGTATTTAAAATTCATAATCCAATGGAACAAACTATCTTACATAACAGCACTTAAAATGTAAAAGTTAATATTATATCCATTGAACTCACTCCCAGCGTCATATTGTGAAACATAAAAAACTACAATTGTGTGCGTCATGTGAATGCAGGTCGGCGATCGCCCCGGGGGTTTTAAACTGATATGTTGATGATGAATCTTAACTAGCCGCTTAGCACGTAGCGCCGGGGTAAACAGGAGCTGGTTTGGACTTGCTGACGAGCCGAGTGAGTAAGTAGAGAACATGAGAAGATGATTCTGTGGTTTGGAGTTTAATCTCTGTACACACTGGCCTCCATTTGATGTTTGCCATATTGTGGGCCGCGACCAAAATAGCCCACGGGCAGCGGCA